GCACCTCGCGCCCCTCTCTGTCTCCGCAGGCTGCTGGGCGCTGACGGGGCCGCACTCCGTGCAGGGAACCGTCGGGGGGTCCCTCTCAGTGTCCTGCAAGTATGAGGAGGGTTTGGAGACAAATGAGAAATTCTGGTGCAAACCGGGAAGCTTTCTTTCCTGTGACGGTCCTTACATCATCGCGACATCGGAGCATAAATCCTTCGCGCATAAGGAACGAATCTCCATCGTAGATGACCAAACTCGGCAAGTGTTCACGGTGACCATGAGGAATCTGACCACAGGGGACACGGGTACCTACCGGTGCGGGGTGGAGAGGACACTTCTTAATGACAGACACACAGTGAAGGTGAACGTGTTTCCAGGTAGGTTCGTTTGGGTTCCCTGGTGCCAACACTGCTCCCCCCCGCTGAAATGCCAGGGGCAGGGGCTGCCCAAAGGGTGATTGGGAGCAGGTGGGCGCCCATGGGACAGCCAGGGGAAGTGTTACCTGCGTCTGCTGGTTGCTGCAGCTGGGTGCATTTCCCCATGGCCCCTTCTCGGTGCCGCAGCCCCCCATCTCGTTCAGGCTTGTGCTTGCTTTCCACGCTGCTCTCCTTGCCCTCTTTCCTCCTCAGGTCCTCCTTCCCCAGTTTGGGCTTTCCTGGGCATTTCTTTCCAGCCTTAGGGAATCCCTCCTTCCCCCAGGCTGCCTGACCCCCTGGGGCCGAGGAGCCATCGCGTCTGGCTGCAGCTTGGTGCCCTTGGGTCACTGGTTTGGTGCCTGCCGTGTCCGGGGTGCCCGGACCCTGTCCCAGCGGGCGAGGGCAGCCACGTGCAGGGAGCTGCGAGCAGCACGACGGGGGCTGCCAAGCTCCTGCTGCTGAGCAGGGAAGGCAGCTTCTGCCCCGATGCTCAATGCGTCTCCTCGCGCTGCTAAAGCTGCAGCGTTTCCCCTGAGGAAGCAGAGAGTCGGGCTGAGCCTCCTCTCTTTTTTCCCTTTCTTTTTTTTTTTTTTTTTTCAGTTTCTTCCTCCTCTCCTCCAAAAACTGCATCTCCCTCGACTGCAGAGCATCCTGCTCTCACTGCCTCCACGTCAGCCCCCACTGGGGCATTTCCCCAAGAGCAAACTGCTGAGAAAGAGAGAGCCCCCCAGCCTCCCCATGGAGGCCCCAGCCCTGCACAGTGAGTACAGCTGCTGCCCGTGCCGGGAGCTCCGTCCCGCTGCCAGCGGTGGCCGCTGCCGTATCTCGGGTCTCACAGCGGAGGATCCCCGTAGATGCCGCTGGAGCCTGCGGGTTCTCCTCACCCTCCTCTGAGAGTTCAGACCTTCTGCTTTAGAGACCAGCATTGCCATGAGCCACCAGCCCTGCTTGGAAGATAATCTCAGGGCCTTGATGGGCTGGTCCCACCAAAGCCCTATCTGCCCGCTGCATTGCTCGCAGCTTAAGCAAGATGCAGGACGTGACCAAACCGGGAGTGATTTCTGAGTGCAGTGGTAATGCCATTTCCTTCCCCAAAACTGAGAGGGACCGTTAGCCTGCAGAAAGTCAAGCATGCCCTGACCGCACAGTCACATGTAAGTTCACACACATGGGTGACAGAGGGTGAGATCAGAGCAGCAGAACTTGCTTGCTCTGCTCCTCGAGGTGATGCAAGAGGAGGACGAAAGCCGAGATTTCCCAGCAGCGTGTTCACGGGTAGCCGGCTTCCCAGCACCCATCCCATAGACACATCAGTGTTGTTTGGTTGCTCACTGCAAGAAAGGTCAACAAACAATAGACTTAAACCAGAGACAAATCCAACACAGAGAGTGATTCTTATGTAATCTTCAAAATGCAGCAGCTCTCACAACCGTCTGTGTGTTCCTAGTTTAATTTTCTGTCTCCACCTTGCAGATGTAAAACCACCGAGCCTTGGTGTTGAGGCGTTAGGTCAAACAGAGCAGTCACCTGATCCTGTTCTCCTGGTAGTTACTCCAGATTTTGCTACTGAAGGAGAAGTGTGAGAGCAGAAACTCTTCTCTTCTTGCAGCTTGGACTTGGTCACGGACGTCCTGACTCCCTGCATCGTGGTGGTTCTCCTTTTGCTTGTTCTTGCTGCTGGTGTGTTGGTTAAACTGTCCAGGAAGAGGAAGAAAGGCAGGTGAAACAGCATCACTCGGAGATAGGCACAGCGCTTTTGTGCTGGAGTCTGTTTTTCACTCTATCTATGTTTTTTTCTCCATTCTCTCTTTGATCCACCCCCTTCCTCAGCTCTGTTGGTGAATTCTCTGCTTTTGTTTGTGACCAAGAGAAGAGCAGGGAGGTCTCCTTAGGTGGCGAGTGCGGTGGCACCGCAGTCCTGCCCGCGGCTGAGCTGACCTCGCGTGCCGGCTGCGCACGTGTGCGTGTCTGCCGCGCTGGCAAGCGCTCACACGCCGGGTCTGAGGCCACATGAGGGCTGGGGATGGTTACAGAGAGGAGCTGGTTTTATTTAAAGAAGACCGTTGGTTTTAGATGAGTAATGGAGACGGGTTTTAGATGAGTAACGGAGCAGGAGGTTCCCTTCCTGCTCCGTGGTGGGATTTGCAGTAAGCGCCCAATTTCGACACATGTCTGAGCCTTTGGGTCACTCTTGCATCTAACCACGTCCGTGTTTCCCCAGCCCTGGCCGAAGCACCCATGGAGATGCACATGGAGCGCAGCGTCTCGAACACGGTAAGGCCACGCGGCCCGGGCCATCCTGCAATGGGAAAGGCTGCCGGTGGAGCCAAGCAAACTGGCACCGAGCCTGCTGGCTTCACAGATCCTTAGGGGTCAGTTTGCCAGGGGATTTGCCTGTTTGTTTGGTGCGACCATTGCAGAATTTGGGATAGGGCTGGGAGGTTTCCCGCCAAGCTCCTTGGAGCTGGGGACTGGCTTCCCTGGACAAAACTTGCTTGGAAACCTGCCGCGAATCCCCCGGGAAGAAGCTGCAGGTTGATTTCCCCTCGGCGCTCCTGCAGCTGCGTTGGGCTGCAGCAGCCCCGTTCCCGCGCTCAAACACACCGCTCACTGTTGGCACCTCGCGCTTGGCACAAGCGCCCCGATTTGCAGCCCAGCTCCCCTGGACAGTGTCCCCAGGGTGCCGGACGCCTCGCGTTGCAGGGCACCCAGGGCAGCCTGCAGTACGCCGAGTTCGCCCACGCCGCGGTGGCGGAGGACGGGCAGTTATACTGCAACATGAAGGCTCTCCCGAGCGCTGAGACCAGCTACACGGAGATCCGGCTGCGCCGGCAGGTAGGGACGCGTGGGCGGCTCCGTGCGCGGGACACGAGGAGGACAGTGCCATGGGAGAAGGGCTGTGCTAAGGGCAGGATGGGGGTCGGACAAGGACGGGGTTTCCATGGGGAAGTGCCGCTGCGCACACGAGTGACCCCGCAGAGCGCGGCGCCGAGGGGGCCCTGGCAGGCAGCTCAGCAGGAGGGTTTCCCCAGAGAAACCCTGCGAGCTCCAGGCTCGTGGATGGAGGAACTAGGGCTCCACGTCGCCTTCATGATCTCCGCAGGAGCCAGAACCAGGCTTTTTTTCCACCCTCTTCTTTTTTTTCTCCTCAGAGCTCGCAAGAGGAGGGAGAGGCTGGCGCCGCGGCGGGCCCG